AAACTGAAGCACAGGAAGTTCCGTCTGAACATGAGGAAGAACTTCTTCCCTCTGAGGGTGACGGAGCCCTGGAACAGGCTGCCCAGGGAGGTTGTGGAGTCTCCTTCTCTGGAGATATTCAAGACCCGCCTGGACAAGGTCCTCTACAGCCTACTGTAGGTGACCCTGCTTGGGCAGGGGAGTTGGACTAGATGACCCACAGAGGTCCCTTCCAACCCCTACCATTCTGTGATTCTGTGATTCTGTGATTCTGTGATTCTGTGATTCTGTGATTCTGTGATTCTGTGATTTTATGATACGTTACAAATGCCAAGTTGAAGATGATTACAGAAAGATTTTTTAAAAATAATTTACCATGCATTCATATTTTCTGGAATGAACGCCTTTCCATATAATAAATAAATTTTTACAAATATTAATACTTTCACTGAATATCTGATTACTGAGAAACAGAGATCGTTTCGAATACAAATGACCTGTTTAAATTTCAGTTAGCAGTATACACACACATATTCAGCAACTGAGCTTACAAAAAGGCTTGCACACACTTCCATACCAGGTCTTAAAGCATGGCTCACATAAGCACTTGCACATCATTTGTACAGAAATGCCTGGCCATGCATAATATACTCAACATGTGTAAGTGTTTATAGAAGTAATGCAAGATGGAGGGTGTTGGGTAGTATTTTTTTCAGTGGAAAAAAATTTAATTTATCATCAGACATCTTCAGCATAATGAAACAGAGTCAGAATTTCTCTTAATTCTGGGCCTAAACCATGGAATGCTGCAGTTCATAGGGAACAGATACCATTCTTCAACAGGAGAAAGGCATTTCTCAGTCCATCTTCTGGTGGCCAAGGACTAGCAGGTTAGTCGTCCTACAGGAGGATTTCTACAATGGCCCAAAACAAAGTTTATTCGTGGCTGACTGTGAAGCAGTAGGCTACTATGCAAAGGTGGCTCCTTCCATTTTCTTCCTCTTTCTACTACACTAGCACATCAGCCTAGGAAAGGTTTGATTTGTGAATCCCAAGCCCATAATTCAGGGCTAGAAAGAAGCATCTAAATGCTCTCTCTCCATCTTTTCCTATTATGGGGCATACTCAACCACTTGCATGTGCTAGCTGCCATCAATCCTATTCGGTAGATCTTAAAACTCCTAAACTTATATAGAAAATTAAATGTTTTCTTCAGTGTGCTCAAATCCACACATGAACCGAGCAACTAGTTATAAGGCACTGTAATAATCAGTAGAGCTATACCTAAAGTCTTTACCTTGTGTCTAATTTTTCCTCTAAAAATAGCTTGTTCAGTTTCATAGGGATGTTATAATACATAAAACAAATGCTAAGATATGTCATTAAAGTCATACCCAGGATAACAGCTAAAAGCAAAAGCACAGGAATTGTTATTCTACTCGGAGTACTATTACTGTAACAATTAAAATAACTACCAAGAATTACCTGGGAGCTCTTGCACAACCTTAGGACAGCCAACCACACGTGTAACTGTGTTCTGTACTCCCTTAGACACTACTGCCTGATTCAGGAAACAGATAATCAGAAGCGAAACCAACCTGAAAAGCAACACCTGCTCCTACCCTACTAGTTCCTTATTTTTGCTCATGATTAGTGAAGTGGCCACTGTTCTGTGGACTTTGGCAGGCAATCAGGTGTTACAGAAAACATTCGTCTCTTTCTCAAAATAAAAATACTAAGAAAAAAAACCTTAGGAAAGTCACAAAAAAAAGGGCAAATGTAAAATCTATATTAATTAATTCCTTTCTTTCCCTTCTTCTCTGACCGGGCTGGTCACCTCTCAGGTTAGCAGGGGTACTTTCCTCCTTGACACTCAGGCAGAATAAGTCGGATGTGAATTTCCTTGCCTGTTAACTGGTCCCCTTAAAGTTGGACGGTGAAGTTGATACCGTTCCCTGAAGCTCAAGGCGAGAGCGGTGGGGTTCTCACAGCTTTCTTTAGAAACAAAGCACGCTGTATACTGGCATCCTCCCTGACTCTCCAAGCACTTGTACCCACCGTGTCTGGCGGCTCGGGTGAGATTTTCACACTTTTCGAAAACCAGCATGAACTCCAGCTGTCTACCTATCGTAGCTGTAACGGCTGATGTGCTTTTGTATTAAAATCTCCCTTCCTCCCTTTCAGAATGCCTAAATGTTGTCTAGACAACATTTGTGTCAGGACATGAGCCGGCAATGTGCGCTTGCAGCCCTGAAGGCCAGCCATCTCCTGCGCTGCATCAAAAGCAGTGTGACCAGCAGGGGGAGGGAGGTGATTATGCCGCTCTACTCCACTCTAGTGAGACCTCACCTGGAGTCCTGCATCCACCTCTGGAGCCCTCAGCACAGGAAGGACGACACCTCAGCACGGGAGGCACAGGGAGCTGCTGGAGCGGGTCCAGAGGAGGGCCACAAAACTGATCCGAGGGCTGGAGCACCTCTCCTATGAGGACAGGCTGAGAGAGTTGGGCTTGTTCAGCCTGGAGAAGAGAAGGCTCCAGGAAGACCTTATTTCAGCCTTTCAGTACCTGAAGGGGGCCTATAGGAAAAATGGAGACAATCTTTTTAGCAAGGCCTGTTGTGACAGGACAAGGAGGAACGGCTTTAAACTAAGGGAGGGTAGATTTAGGCTGGTTTTAAGGAAGACATTTTTTACAGTGAGGATGGTTAAACACCGGAATGGGTTGCCCAGAGAAGCAGTGGAGGCCCCATCCCTGGAAACATTCAAGGCCAGTTGGAACAGGCTCTGAGCCACCCGATCTAGTTGAAGATGTCCCAGCTCATTGCAGGGGGGTTGGACTAGATGGCCTCTAAAGGTTCCTTGCAACCCACAGCATTCAATGATTCTTTACGCACAGTGTAGGTATTTACGTAGAATGCCCAGAGCAAAGAAATCTTCTTTGTATTTGCTTAAAAGTAATTTTTTCTAATTTACTTCTCTATTTTTCTATTTTTTTTTCTAAACGCCTGTGAAGCTAAATGTTCAAGCATTAGTTTATTATATACAACATAAAATATATTTTAAAATACATATTTTATCAATAATCATATATCCATATGATTGCCTAGTAATTTCTTTCATTGAAAATTCCACATCAATCAATAATCACACAGCTGTAACCGAAGTACCAAAATTTCAGGTTTATAGTGAATAGTGAAACTTAATGAGGCCCTAATTGGGTAAAATAATATTTTTATATTGAAAGTAGTATTAGTTGCTTCTATTTGCAGAAGTACCAGCTAGTTAGAATTTAAGTAATTGGTTGTCCACTAATCAGCCCTACTTCAAGGTACCAGTCATTAGGTGTATTGACTATTAACTATGATAACAGGTACATGTTTCTAATGATTGTTGCAGAAGAGGATGGAAGGAGGAAATACTCTAGGAAAAATTGCGTGTTCTGCTTTGGTTTTTAGTCCTCCTTGTTTTGGTCCTACCTGCCTCCTGTCCTCTGTCAGGAAGTGTTGCATTTCTTTTGAATTTCTGGCAGCTTAGGATCCTACTTCAAAGTTTTAACTGAGGGGAAGTGAAAAAACTGTGATTATATATGACATAGAGCTGATAGTGCGTGAAATAGTACAAAAGGAATATTATAAACAGTATTAGTAAGAAGCTTTTTATCTTCAGCTCTTCAGAGTATCACTAGGGGGTGCTAGGTACCAGGCCATAATAATGAGCTGCTTTGTAGGAGCTGTTAAGGTAAAATTCTTTTTGTCTTAAGCAAAGACAGACATTTGTGGGTGGAAACTCATTAAAGAGTTCATCATTTTTCTAATACAGGTTAGTTAGCTATAGTTCTTTGTTAAATTTGGATACATCTGAATTTCTGTTTTGTCTCTTGGAACATTGTTCCTGAGATCAAAATAATTTAGGTAGGATTTTCATCTTAAAAATAACGACATCCAAGTTAAATATATCCTGTTTTAAAAAGAATGACATTCTGGATTGAGTTGAATTTAATATCTGATATTGAAAGGTATTTTAGATATTACCAGATCAGGAATGGAAAACATGCAGATTTAATGTGATACGCATGAAATTTGGCATTTAGTCTATGCAGTATCACATATAATCACATTTGTAACTGAAGTGCTTTACTATATGAAAATTTAGACTGAGAGTTTAGCTGAGGGCTTTGAATCAGAGAAATCTCTATGCAGTCTGGTATTCAGGTTTCTATTTACTATCAAGGATTAAAAAAGAAAACCCATAGACTCAGAATCTCCAGATTCCATTTAGGTGGAGGGGATGGGGATGGTGGCTATGATGAACAACATGTGCACACTGAAGGTTTTTTTTATATCGTATAGCCTTTCTTTCACGCTCTTCTACCAAATGCAAACGCCTGCTCTGTCTACCCACAGTACTGTTGTGCTTACTTTGAGTCTGCAGCCCAAAGTTAATTCCAGGAGCTTGCCCTCTCTATTGAGGGGTGACAGTCAAAATTACTTTTTCTTGATGTTCTGCATTTCAACTCTGATAAGTCCCTGACAATGTTAACGAATTACCATGTTTTAATGTTTTTATTTCTCTTTTTTTCCAAAATACGGTTGAAGTGGTCGAATTACAGAATACTTGTAGTACCATGGTTTTATTTTAGTGATAGGAACAACGATTTCATGAAATGTGTGAAAGATTTAGATGTTTCATATGATAACTGAATGAATTAGGCACTCATTAATGAAATTAACATTGTGATAATTATTTCATGAGTTTTGTGAAATGTCTGAACAAAATGTTTTATGAAACGATTGTTATCACAATGTAATTGTATAGAGCATATTTAACAGCTGTATATGAAGGAAAACAAAAGCATTAATCACAGACAGTCACTGGCAGCTAGCAGAAGACTTCCTTTTGTGCCAAAAAATTGCAACCTGTACTTTTTGAATCAATGATCCATTTTGATCATCGAAATAGCATATTAAAATATTCATATTATATCTTTAATCTGATTTCTTACCAAATCATCCAAGTATTTTATGTTTTTATTAGTTGAGTTTTAAAAATCTAATGAGCATGATCAGCTTTTCTTTTTTTTTTCCAAGAAACCTTTTGGTAAGATGCCATGGCATTTTAAAGATTGGTTCATATAATTTAGGGAAAAATGTAATTTAGAAGTTGTCAATTGGAATCATAGTTGCTAAGAACAGAAACAAAAATTTTTCTCCAAACTCTGCTTTAAGGTATCAATGGCACGTGGAATACCAAACTTGATAAATGCTATACGAATGATTCACAGTGTTTCGAGATATTACAATACTTCTGAGAGAATGACATCATTGTTTATAAAGGTAAACATATTAAGTATAATATTAATTAGAAAATTTTCGTCATTTTTCAGAAAAAAACCTCATTTTGTTTAAATCAGTAGTGTATTTGTTTAAAAATGCTAATAAATAGTGGATGTCTACACGGGAAAGGAAGTGAAGTCTGTCAATCAGGAGAGGACTGAACTTGGATTAGAGACTTGTCTTCTGGACGGAACTTTGCTCTTATTCTTCCTTCAGCAAAATTATTTTTTTTCGTATCTTCTTGATTAATCTCCTGATCTCAATTAATCTGCTCAGTTGTTTGCTAAATCACTGAATGCACAAAGATTCTTTTATTATCAGCCTTGAAGACCTAATTAAGCAGATGGCCATCAGCCTGACTAGACTGTTCCTCCAAAAGGTGTGAAGGACAGAAGGTTCCTGTTTTCAGAAGCAAGTCATACTTGAAAAGTTAATTGAATTTCACATCATAAACTTTGCCACCTTAAACAGAAAATTAAGACCAGCTAGGTAATTATACCAATGTCTTGTGCAGAATCCAGATATACACTACAGGAAAAGATGGTTTGTGTAATGATTTTAGAACAAAGAAGTCCTTCACAACTAAAATACACACCTCCAGTAAGCATATAGGGGAAATTCATAGCAGACCCTAATTACACCAATTTATTTATTTATTTGTTTATTTGTTTTAGAAGACACCAGGTTTTAGTGTAAAGTTCTGTTCAAATTCAATTTGAAGTAGCATATTAAGAAATAACTACTTTTTTGAGGCTATATTTATCCATGGCTGGATCTGTTTTCCATACATCAGATGTTAGGTATAAATTATGCAGTAAAGTTTATATTGCCTGTTATGTAATTCTTTTTTATGTGTTTGTGTATTGACACTTGCTAGTGTCTATTATTTAATGGTCTAAGGGATTGAGCATTTCACTACAGAGGCTAATGACAAACTGGTTCATGAAGCTGTGCTAAGAAATAGCAAGAAAAAATTCTATTTTAGTCCAGTGGTTTAAGGTCCCACTTACTGTTTGCTTTCATTTAAAGATCACCACAGGTGACACAGGAGGTCCTACTGCTTCACCAGTCATTGTGTTACAGTGTGAGGCTGCCTTTGTTGTGGCTGTTTTCAGTCTTTATTCAGTTAGGGATTCTAAGGACCTGCTTACAGTACTCTCATGTCAGGAGCACTGTTTTGAATTGTTCACATTATTTAATAGGCAAAAAAGATTATCTACTACCCGTAGCTGTTGTCTGAGGTGTGTTTTCTATATCTGCTTTCACTCCCATACTCCTCTCTCTTTTTCTGTCATTATAATGTTTGGATTTTTGTGGTTGAGCAGTAGAAGCATGTTCTGTGCTTTTTATAGCCATGGGAGACCAAGGTAAAGACATACTGCTAGGACAGAAAATTCTTTAATTTTTTAAATAAGGATGCACACACTACAAAGTGTAAAGATGATAACATAAGTGAAGAATAGTTAAAGTTAAATATCTTCTCTTTGTTCTTGAGTTATGGTTGGTGATAATCTATGTTAATGCATATGTATTGCTGGACTTCTAGTACTTACAAATACTTCCTGGGAACTAGGTACATTTCTGGGAGTGTTTTAAGACTTTTTATAGGGTGTTTGTCATGTATATTACATATATTATTTAGCCGCTATTATTCTTACTGGTGAAATGTATCCAAACTCTGATAGTACTAATACATGCAGGTAGGAATTTTGTTAGATTTTGCAAAACAAGGCGAATTTCCTTATAAGCTTGAGACCTACTTGTTTTCATTTGTTTGCACTAGGTTACAAATCAAATGGTTACAACATGTAGAGCATATATTACAGATGGTGGCTTGTCTCGTGTCTGGGAGCAGAACACATCAACAGTCATTGGAAAAATTAAGGTTTGTATTTTGGTATTTTATTATTTACCTGTCAAACTGGTTGATTACCTATTGATTTGCACGAGGAAGTCCATATCAATATGTATCAAGTACGTCACATCTCTTTACTGTTTTTATTTCATGATGTTTTGAGTGTTTTTCCATTTCCTGTCTTCAACAAAGTGGCATTTGTTGGTACTAGAATGGCCTCATCTTTATCAAGGTGATCTATCACTGACCTTGGAATTGGTATCTTCACCATATGTGTGACCAAGGAATTTTGTCATCCTGCATAATCCACATTCTTCCCTCTTGAGGGTATCTGATACAGTACCATCTCCCTCTGCCATGGGGAACCTGATGTTTGAACAGACCCCCAATTTCTTACAGTAGCTCCTTCCAATCCCAGATTTCCTTGGCACACCATGAAAGTGCAGTGCTAAGTGGGTCTTCCTCTTCTTCACCTGATGGTGACACATTAAGAACAAATTAAGCATGTGCGATATGCCATGGCAAAATACGTCCATCTGAGGGATTACTGGTTGCCAATACTGACTTCATTTCCACCTTCACCTTTACCAGACCTCAGCTACTGACTTCCTGTCTTACCTCGAAAGGCATAAGATTTTGTAGTCCTTTAAAAATCAGGTCCAGAGGTACAAAAGAAAATGTACTGAACGTATGTCTCCTGACCTGACAGGATGGTACGATTCTGATAATTCGTCTGTTTCATTGAGGTCATCTTGTGGCTGTTCTACAGCTGACAAGCCCTCATTATTCTATGAGAGAAATATAAGCTCAGTTTGTTATCACGGTGATCAGTCTTTGTTCTAGTATCTGTACGTTCTTGAAGATCTGAACATTCCTTTCAATGAGGACATTTTTTCATTTCCTGTATTTCATAGCCAATTGTTATATATACCTATATATTCAGACAGTCTGATGACTGCCAGAATATTGTGATAAAACTTGCTTTCTGTTTTCCAAGAATTGACAGAAGATTTTGTATTCCAATGATTATAGACTTTACATTTCTCACCAGTCATAATTTTTACATCTGATAAGGCCTTAGTATTTTAAGTAAATAATCAACTGAGAAAGATAGATTATTCTTCAAGCTCACTTGAACTCAGACTTGTCAACATACATTTATTTGTATAGCCAATTTTCGTTAAGTCCCCTGGGAGTTCCAAACAGACAGCCCTGTTATGCCAAATTCTGTCCTTATCCAGAGGACAGTCTGACCATTCTTAATTAAGCTAATGGCTTTTCTCAATATTCAAAAATATTCTTCAGAGTAGAAGTCATCACCTGTTCTTCGCTGGCCTCTAAACCTCTCTTTACTTTTACAAGGACTAAAATTTTACTTTCTTTTTTTGGTGACTTTTTCCAGTGTTAAGTCTTTCACTGTACTGTACTGTTGTATGTTCATATGTTGCAAATATTTGCTACACATACTGAAAGAAAACCACTATATGTAAGCCATTACTGCATGTTGACTGAAAGTCGATTCAGTGATAATCAACCACTTTGAAATGGCAGTAGCTTTGAGTTCTCCAGTCTCTCACCCACAAGCATAGTATAATGAGCATGGTATTTATTCCTTCACTTTTTAGGACTGCATGTTTCTATTGAAAGAATATCAGAAATGCTTTCAGGAAACAAAGCAAGAGATTTTCAAAACTCAAGGAGAAAAGACATTTGAAATATCAGAAACGTACATTTTTGGAAAATCTGAAGCTTTTTTCAGGAGATTAGAAAAAGTGAGTATACTGTGTACTGTTATTATTGGTAGAGAAAGGCTTCTTCAAAGAACAGCTTACAAGGTGGACACTTGTCAACATGCATGCTCTTAATCTTCTTGTGAAGGAGTATGTAACTCTTTATTGAGAGAAATTAGGCACTTCCACAGAGTAAGTCATCCCAATACTTTAGGCAATTACCTCACAATGTCCTTCGGAATTTGTGAATTTATCTCTGTTATTGTGGAGAGAAACAACCTGATTGATCTAGACTTAGATCATTATTTCAGGAGGTTTAAAATTATGTGAAAATTAACACACCTCTGCTTTTTTAATGGTGTCCTAAGGCATTAAAAACTCCTGTTACTGCCAAACAGAGTTCTTCAGATGATTCTGCTGCTTGATGTGGTCATAACATTTAGCCTGTTAACCTGATGAGAGGATTTAAAATTAGCATTCATACAGTTTGAGTTGAAAAGATAATAGGTGCTCCTTGGCGCAGAGTAAGGTCAGAAGGGGGATAAGAGGATAATGGGGCAGTCATCACAGAGTAGGAATTCTGTGAGTATTTGATGTTTTCCCTTATCATTCATTGTATACACTAATCTGTATGGCTTTTTTTTTATTCTGTGAAATCTCTTTGTAGTATCAGTATGTGTATGTGATATTTTAACTCTTTTTCCCTATTACCCTATTGAATCTAACAGTCAAATATAAAAAAAAAAAAACCCTTTACCATCACGAAAAATGAAGATGTTTTTACTTTGCATTGGGTTGTTGTGAGAACTGATGTAGAAAACTGAATTAACCATGCTCTGTTGAAGATACTTGATGTAGAAGCTCTAAGCAACACATTTCTGAATGCAGTAGTTAGAGGAGTGGCTATTGCTTATTCTATTTTACTCAGGTTTTAGTTTATAGAGGAAGTAAATAATTTATGAGCATGAATATAATATTTGTATTTCAGATTACAGAGGTGATAACTGTAGGACAAACTTTTTGTTCACTGAGTCTACCATCGAAGCGATAGATATTATGGCAGTAAAATTCAAAAATATCTACCAAAGTGTTAAGAAGAAACAATATGACATCCTTGATCCACAAAAAACAGAATTTGATGTGGATTTTGTGAACTTCATGGCAAAAATTGAAGGTTTAGAGGTAAATAACATTGCTACCTATAAGTTACTTGGGGAAGAATCTCATCAGTACTTGCTCAGTATCTCCCTGAATGTCAGTGAGACTTTGGACTGTGAATAGGCTACATTGTTCTTCTTTCAAAGAGCATAGTTTGTGTTTGTCTGGAGGGAGGCTTTTTCTATTCTCCCTCCTCCTTCCAATGGAAGCTGTAAAATATCTCATACAGTACTCACTGAAGATCAGTCGCTCTGCAGCCAAAATGACAAAAATTATGAGACCTGAGAGAGTGATCTACATGAAGGTCTTTTTTTAACCTGGAGACACGTGGTTAGATTTTGGACAGAAAAAGGCAGCAGCTGTTTTTAGTACATGATTTGACTCTTTTCTAAAATTGTCTGGCATTTTAAGAGATTACTTGACTGACACTAGCTGTTTATTGATTATGTTCATAGACCATCAAAGGATGCTATTTTGTGCTTTAAGTGGTAAAAATTTCAAATGCTGGTATATTAAAAAATTATCAGACATCAAAATATTATTACATGACTAGAAAAATTATACTAAATTATGTATTCTTTAGGTACAGATACAGACATTTATGCGTACCTGTTTTGGGAGAATTTTGTCTTCACAGCATGCACTCCAGTTACTTCAAAGGTATTGGCAATTATGTTTTAAAATATTTTTAAGTAAATTCAAATTACCGATCAGTACAATTTAAATAACACAGGTAATTTTAGAACAAAGTGCCTAGTCAAGAATTTTTCATTATTGGTATTCTGAACAATATAATAATCGTAAAAGATGTATTTTAGCTTGCTTATGGGAATCAATATATTCTCCTGTTTCTTAATTTCATTACGGTTTATATCATATCTACAAGAGTATACTAAAGGAAAAAACTAAAAAATACAACAGCAACAGCAACAACAAAACCCCACCAGGGCAGAACTTTTCAACTTGCTTAAACTTGCTCAGAGCAAAATATTTCCCAGATCCAGAAGTGTTTCCTAGATTTGTGCTTCTTTCATTTTATATAATGTTCATGTACCGCTGCCAAAAAAAAAAAAAAATTGTATTAGAAATATCATTTTGGGTACTCATTTTTTATACAGGTTTCAAAATCTGAGAATGCCATGCCTTCAGGAAGAAATAGTACACACAGTTGGTTGTATTCTTCAACATTATGCAGTAGAACTTGAAGCTACTAAAAAGGTATTTAATTTCTTTGCAATAAATTTTAAACATTGTGTTAAAATAAGAGCAAATATTTTAATATGAATATTTTTTATTTATTCTGCCTGTGTCACTAACTGACTGTCAGTGGTCAATATATCATACTTCTATTTTCCTGTTACAGAAAACAGACCTTAGTGTGTAGGCAAATATGATATACATGCACTTGTGGTCAAATGCGTTGTCACAATTTGAAGTTTTAAACCAAAATCTTTTCTGTTACTCCTTCATTAATTAAAGAAAAAGAAGCATGTTCTTTAGTGCCTGTGGACATCACGTGCATATACCTTTTTGGTTTTTTTTTTGTGTGAGGCCTCTGCAGTTAATTTGCATTTATACATGGCTATTTTCTAACGCTGTGACAGTATAAAATAGATATAAAATGTAGGTAAATTGCATTTATGTTCATTAGAAAGTAATTTTCCATTATTTCTGTGGTGTACCATGACTGTAGCATGTGTCACTTGTCTTTAAACATTTAGAGAGGAATTCATCTAACCTGACTTTATATGTCTGCAAAATAAACATCTGCATCAGAATTAGACATCCATACTCCCTTTCTACTCAGGAATGAAACAAGTATTCTAGAGTGAATTAATCTCATCTATTTTACGTGTTAACATGAAGATTTAAATAATTCCCTTGGCCATTTTTCTTCCATGAGCATTAAGGGAATCTGGAAAACCGAACTGATGCAAATATTTTTGAGAGATATTTACATTTTGTCTGATGAATTACACGTGTTTACATGAGGAGCCAAGTATCTGTAAACTCTGCACTTATTAGGAAATGATTCCTCCAAACAGTGACTTAAAACTGTAACCTAGCATAGCTGCTCTGAACTACTCTACAGTGTCCTTTCCCTTTCCCTGTCTACTCACTGTACATAACATTTCCTGAACCTCAGATTATTGGCTAATTTGATGAACATTTTTTTCAGCAGCACGGCCTGCTTAAGAAATCACTGACCGCAGCCCTGGCTTCTTTTTCCTAGCCAAAAGAATAGACATGTTTTCTGAGGGGATTTCACCCATATCCTCTCAAGTTCACTGTGAAGCTAGTTAAGTTTCTGTTGTTGGCACTGTGCAGGAGATAGTATAGGGGTAAGAAGATTTGACAGTAGGTGAAAAGTGGTGTCTGCTTCAGCAGTACAGCTGTTTGTGTTATCACAGCATGAGTTTGCATGCCTAAAGTTGGGTGGATTCAAATATTCCTCTTACTTCTCTTGAAGAATATGTCGCCAATATACCGGCTAGCTCTAACTACTTATTAAATATTATGAGGTTGCTTTTTATCTTTGCCTAGCAAGTTATTTCTAATAAAAGGTTGCTCCTACTACAATACTTGTTCTAAAGTGCTTGAATAATTTGTCAATGCAAATTTGGTATGTCATCATTTTAGGCCAAACTTTTCTTGACTTTAATTCAACCTTTCAGTGAGCAGAGCCTCTCTTTTTTTTTCTCAGCTTGGGCACAGGTAAAAGCATGGGCTACGTACCCAGGGGTCTGTACATGCGTATTGATGAGAAGTTAGTAGAAGAAAACATATTACAGAATCATAGATTATCCTGAGTTGGAAGGGACCCACAAAAATAATCAAGTCCAACTCCTGAAATGTTATCTGTTAGTCAGGTGTATATGTCTGAAGAACAATGCTGACATTTCTATTCAGGTAAAACCTCTCAGTTAACAATATAGCTTAGACCTTTTCTGACAGCAGTTCCCAAGCAAAGGAGGAAAAGCCCCAACAAGGGTTCTCACAACACTTCCTTACACAGCTTACTTTCACAGCAGATGGCTCCAAAGTTACACCGCTGCACCTATCAGGCTTGGCCTTGAATACTGGCTGCTCAGTTCCTAGGTTTGCAGTGGCTTTTGGTGTGCTCAGGGTTCTGGCAAGAGTAAGCATGTCTGAGAGACAGCGTAAGATATTGAAGACAGGAGACATATCAACAGAAGTATGAATGTGTGCATCTCAGAAGAGTAGCATGTAGGGGAAGCAACTCATTTTTCTCTCAATGAACTGTTGTGTGACTCCACACAAATTTAATCTGTCTGGAAGGAGGAAGAAATTGTGGTACCAAAGGAAAAATAGTTAAAACATTTGAACAGATTGTTTTACTCCATGTTTTTAATAATATTGCTCATATCATAGCTTTACAAAATTCAGAAAGATGACCCTCCTCTTGCTCGAAACATGCCACCCATTGCAGGAAAGATACTTTGGGTCAGACAGCTGTTCAGGAGGATAAATGAACTGATAAGCTATTTCCATGTAAGTTGATACGAGGAAAAATTAGGTGTTTTGTGTAACAGTGTACTGTCTTACTTCAATGGAGTGACCATAATGTTTCTGGCTATGATGATGTCACTTCTCATATGTTAGGCAACCTGCTTATTTGTATGTGGATATCTAGTTAAAAAAAATATGCTCTGCATTAATGACCGTTGTAAGACCCAAGATGTAGTGTTTCTTTGACTTACCACTGAACTAGTACCCCAAGCTGGAAATATGCACTGAATAGTTAGTATATTTGTCTTCATATTGACCAAAGAAGTATTTCACCATTCCAACCAGTGGTGTTTTTCTTGTTTTTGTAATGGAGCAGACTGGGACTTGTATATAAGACTCATGTCCTGTATTTTAATGGAGTACCCAACTCTTCTGTTCCTCCAGCCTCATAAGGTTCTCGATGGAGAATCATGTCTCTTTACCAAATGGTTGCTAGGAGTAGCTAAAGGCATAAATGTGGAGTGCCTGACATCCTGAAATAGTCTGGTCTGTATGTTCTGGTACCACTGAAAAAGCAAGTTTATTAGAAGGACCCATACAGTAGCTGCAGTACTGTAACTGAGAATCTGGTCACCAGTTTCACTGCAGATGATCTTTGAACTACTCTGGGAACAGGGAATTCCATTACTAAACTTACCAATTCTACATTTTCTGTACCACTAAACATACAGCTGAAGGTTGGTACCAGCCACATAAGCTTTGACAATTATCACCCGTAGGAATTTCACGGTATTGGATTTCCTTTCTTCATTGGAATAGTCAGGATCTCACTATATGAGGAACTGCTATAGCAATAATATTTCTTGAAATGATGGAGTGATTCTCATACAGAGTATCTAGGGTGTCCTGCCAAGTTAGCTTCTATGTGAAGGAAGTTTTCACCTGTTTCTGTCGGATAGAAATAATGATCACCTAAATCTGCTCCAAAGAAAAGAAACATAAATATCATTACTGATTAAAAAAGGAGATTTTTTTAAAAATCAATTTTTAGTTACTGTTCCATTTCGAATAGAACTGAGCATCCATTTCACTGAGAATTACAGGTGTTTATCACCACAGAATAAAGTAATTGCTCTTACATATGTTAAATGTTTAGTATTTATTACTAACAAGTTCTTACTGACTTTATCACCCTATAAATTTGAATCATAAATACTTTATACAGTTTTTAAGAACTCTGTAAGTATAATCTGTAATATTAACTTATGTAATGTATGGTCAATAGTTACATTGAGAAAAACACAAATAGTGTGGTTTTCTTTTGATATGATTTTAATTTGAATGTATTGTGTTTTAATAGAAAAAGTCAAATATCTTGGCAAGTCCAGAAGATAAAGATGTTGTTCGATTATACAACAGAATTGCCTATGTATTGGTGAAATTTGAGGTAGTCTATCATGATGGATGAAGGAAATTTCACAATTACAATACCGTAAGTAATCAATTATGTAATTGTGTTTTCTTTTTTAAACTGTTATTGAGTGCTAAGTTGACACAAAACAAATCAGATAATTTTTTAAGCCTCATTTACCCTTGAAATGTTCAAATTAATCATGGTCAAATAAGCAGGCCCAATAATACAAATCTTTGACCCTTACTGACCTTGAAACTTGGTTTTGATTGCAGATTTGGCACACTGTTTGACAAATGACTGGAAACAGTAGTGAAACAAACTTAAGGCATACAGTTTTTCATTTTTGTATTCAGATTCTTTACATATACCATTTAATAATTCTTGCTATTTTCTTTCCACTGTAACAATTTATACAGTTGTATTATCCTACTCCCTCTCAGGCCAAGTATTACTTTATGCCTAGAAAAATTGTTTGATAATCAAGCTTTATCATTTTAAGATTAATGACAATTGAAGTTAAAAACCCCCTTTTTTTTAGTTGATTTTTCATGTAAGTTGTAGACACTCTGCGGGCTTCAAAACTAGGAATAGATCTAGTAGAATAAAATCTTGTCATCACACAGTCAACAGAAATTTTTGTGTTGCTGTTTGGGCTTTTGTTTTGTTTTGGATTTTTGCAATATCCCTATGTAAGCATTCATCCTCTGGATTAACAAATTGCTGTAAGGTACTGAGTATCTCATAGAAGTATTGTGTTTCCAGCTCCTTAGAAAATGAATTTCATAATTTTCTAACTTCAGCTGAGAAAAAATAGGCCACAAATAAACCTGGGTCTGATGCTTGTTCACCTTACAAACAGAAAGATTATATATGGCAGAAAGCTAATATGGTGAAAGTCAGTTGTATACTTTCTTCAACTGAAAATGTGAAGTTTTCACAAGTAAGCATACATACTTAATCACTTGTCCTGGTTTCAATTGGGATAGAGTTAATTTTTTCCCAGTGTCTGCTGTGTTTTGGATTTAGTATGAGAAGAAAGTTGATAACACACTGATGTTTTTAGTTGTTGCTGAGAAATCAAGGACTTTTTTTGTTTTTATTATTATTACTGCTTTATGTGTTGACTTATTAAACTGTCTCTATCTCAATCCACGAGTTTTATTTTTTTGTCCATCCTTCTCCCATCCCGTTGAGGGATGGAGGAACAAGTGAGCAGCTGCATGGCCCTAGTTGGCAGCTGCTAGGTTAAACCATGATATCAACATGAATTAATATTAGAAATCTGTGTTCCTTAATAATTTATGTAACAGAAACTATATGTTTTTCTTAGAAACCAATATATTAATGTCTTTACAGCCTTGCAAGCCACAATATTTGCATGTCATCCTAAAACTGGGAAGTTCCTGGTTAACTTTGATCCCCAGATTCCAGAGATTGTCTGAGAGACCAAATGTATGATCAAGTTGGGTCTGGAAGTACCAGAGCAAGCAAAAAAGATAGTAAAAATAGAAAATAACCTGAAGTCAAACAAGTTGCGTTTAGAGGTAAACTTAAGAATTATCATGAATGCTGTTTAAAATAAAGAACATCTGATTAAGCATAAAAAAATTTCTATGGTAAAAGAAAGATTAAAGCTGGGTATGAGGTGGTTTAAGGTAAATTCATGGAATGTACAGGTGGACATAGAGGATCTCATTTGAAAAACCTGTACGAACTTCTCTGTAGGGTAGTATATACTTAAATATAAGCATATGTATTTCTCATACTCTGTGGTATGGTAAATATATTCTGGTGATGAAATAATTAGAGCTATCCAAAATATGTTCACTCTCTGAAAAGCAGTAAAATGCAGTTTTACAGATTTTTTGAGAAGCATAGATTGGAATTCTTCTGGATTGGAAGATACAATGAGCCACAAAAACATCAGCAATTTTGCAGATACCTGATACTTGTTGTAGTATTTAGAAAAGCTTGTATCTTGGGGATGAGGTGTACCATACAAGATTTGTGTGTGTAAGGCATAAGACAAGAGGATCTTTTAAAACTGAATTTATATATGAATTTAATTATCTAAAGCATATGATACTCGGTTTCAAGAGGGTATTGCAAGTTACAGTCACTAAAGCTTCAGCTGTCTTTAGCTCTAGAGAATGATGATACTTTGGCTTTGTGCATAAAGACTAGGAATGTGTTGCATGAATCATAGAATCATAGAAAATTTTGGGTTGGAAGGGACCCCTAGAGGTCATCTAGTCCAATCCCCCTGCAGCGAGCAGGGACACCGGTAACTAGATCAGGTTGCTCAGAGCCCTGTCCAACCTGGTCTGGAATTTTTCCGGGGATGGGGCCTCCACTACCTCTCTGGGCAACCCGTTCCAGTGTTTCAC